TCTTAGGTTTTAAATCATGGAGTTATAATTTTTTAGCTGAAAGAGTGTTATCTTTGTCCAAGCTGTGTGCCTACCCTGTAGTTAGTGTGGTCTTTCTAAAACTCTGTTCATGTCATTTCCCTGCTTTAACCTTTGAATGGATTCTTATGTCACTCTGTAGAAACAGGAACCTATCTCTGGTTTGCTCTTCTGGTAACCCCAAAACCTAGAAGGATGTGTGGTTCATAGTAAGATCAGTAACAGTTTCCAAAGGAAAGAATCAAGTCCAAACTCTTTTGGATGATAGGCAAAGCCCCTAATGATGGGTCTAGCTGCTTCCTACCTTTCCTTCTCCCCTCTGCCCACTCTACAACTGCCTTTTCACAAACTAGCAAGACTAAGCCAGTTTCACAAGGGGCCAGGGAAGGGCCCCTCAGGTTTCCCCCTGGCAGTTCCATCTGCCTGGGATGCGGCTCCACCCTCTGTGTGTGCCTGCTTTGCTGGCTAACTCCTATTGATCCTTTATGCCTCTGCTTTAGATGTCACTCCCACAACTGTGCACCCCTTCAGTACCCCTAGAATCAATTAGAAGCTCCTCTGTGCACTCCCGTGGCATCCTCTATTTATCTTTTTATAGCAATTATCACACTATTGAAATTGTTATCTTGTTTATTTCTTCTGTCTGTGCGTGCATGCTCAGTTGTGTCTGACTCTTTGTGAACCTCCAGCTTCCTCTGTCCATGGAATTCTCCAGACAAGAATACTGTAATGGGTTGCCATTTTCTCCTCCAGGGCATCTTCCCAACCCAGGGATGGAACCAGTGTCTCCTGTCTACATTGCAGGCAGATTCTTTAACCACTGAGCCATCAGGGAAGCTCACTAGACTGTAAACATCATGAGGGTCAAGACTTACATTGATAACTAATAATAAGTATTTATTGAATAGACAGATAAATATTCTAGATCAATGCCTTCATTTTCTCCTTCTCTTTTAAAAAAGTTGATTTGGCTGTCCTGGGTCTTACCTGTGGCATGGAAATCCTTACTCAGCATATGGACTCTAGCTCTCTGATCAGAGATTGAACCTCAGCTCCCTGTATTAGGAGTGCAGCGTCTTAGCCACTGGGTCACCGGGTTAGTCCCCTTTATTTTCTTCTTGAGGAAACTGAGGGCCAGATAAGTTAATAACATGTCTGATGCTACCAGCACTTTGGCCTCATAGAAGCTGGGCCCTGAATTTAGTTTCTCTGCTGTCTGGTATTTTCTTGGCTGACTTGCTCTAGTACTTAGCTAACATTGTTTCAGAAACTGTGGAACAATTGTAATTTAACATTTGAAAAATGTGGTTAGGAACTCAAGTAAATAAAATAATAATCATGTAATTAATTCAAAGCTCAGACACAAAGGATTAAAAAAAAAATTCTCTATTATTTTAAATTATCCATGTCATTGTTTTCCTCCATTCTCCTGGAGTTGTTGAAAGAATGTGGCATAATAGTGTGCTCACTGTCGGAGGCCTGGGTTTCTGTATGACAGCCAGGATGTAACTCCATTCTGGCAAAATCTGATGTTATCGCTCAGGTTTTTGTTGCACTGAAGTTAGGACATCTTCTTCTGGGAGGATCCTGGTGGGAAAAACATCCAGATATCAAATCGTTCTCTTCAGCAGTGCCAAATAACAGGGCTTGCAATGAAAATGAGAACAAAGCAAGCCTGGGATGGTAAAAAGAGCAGAGGCTTTGAAACCATGAAAACCCTGATTTAATTCTAGTTTACCGCTTTGTAACCTTGGGCATAATATTTTCTCTGAGCATTTGTTTCCTCATCTGTAAAATGGGGCTAACTGGAAAGTTAATTTAAGGCTGAGTTAAAGAATCTAATCTAGTGTCTGGCTAAAGGCCCTATTGCAGTTGCTTTCCCAATTCAGGCATTCCTGCAGGATAAAGATCTTCACCACAGGGCCTGGTCAGGGAACCTGTAGGTGCTCAGAAATACGGAAAAATTCATGATTGTAAGAGAGGTGTATTATCACAGAATAGCTAAATTCTTGCTTCAAAGAACCTGAGGTTACTGTCTCTTCCTGTCTGTTTTCTACTGGGATTTGGGCGGATGTGTTTACTCATGTCTTTTAGACACTATCTTTACATGTGTATACCTCAGAAAGAACTACAGTCTAGTTAGGCTTGTTACAATGACAGTGGAAGACAGAGCTGTGTGAAAAAATAAAAAATAAAAAAATCTCAACAGAATGTAGATTTTGCCATCTTTGCCTGCTCAGATGATTGAACTGGGTTACTCAAATATATATATTAATTTATTTCATGAAGTGTCTGAATCACTTAAGGCCTTTACTGAAAAAGTGAAAAAGTTCTGTTGAATCCAGGGGGACTCTGGAAAAGTGGCTGTATACCCTTCAGATGGGCTTTCCCATTGCCTCAACTGTTAAGAATCCGCCTCCAGTGCAGGAGACTCAGGTTTGATCCTTGGGTGGGGAAGATCCCTGCAGGAAGGCATGGCAACCTATTCCAATACTCTTGCCTGGAGAATCCTGTGGACAGAGGAGCCTGGTGGGTTACAACCACAGGGTCACAAAGAGTTGGACACAATGGAAGCAACTGAGCATGTACCCGCACACCCTTCAGATAATTTTCTTGAGTTGTTTGGGGTGCTTTTGGGAAAAAATATTACCACCGACTTGCTTGCTTACTACTCCAACCCATACCACTTTCTCCTAAGCCTAACCCATACTGCTTTTTGAAGTATACTCTTGGTGTTTAATTATGTACTATTTTGAGTCTGCCCTTTGGAACAAGATTTTGTTTCCTGAGAACGAGGACCAAGTCTTTTGTTGAGGCAATACTGGAACTTCTAAGGAGACCAAAATAAATTGTTTACCAATTGCATGAGTCACAACAACTTATGTTTTTCAGTAACTCAAGAGTAGGTATTCTCTCCATGTTACCCATGGGGTAAATGATTTTCATAAGCTCAAAGTCTTGAGTTGGAATTGCCATGCAGATCTTATCTCTTACCTTTTGGCAAATTGCTATTGTTTTAGGCCATTGCTTTGGCAGGATTCCTTTGGGAAACGTAGGAGACATTATAATTGTAAGTAAAAAAACATGAATTCTTATTTGTTTCTTCTCATTTTTAAAAATGAATGTGGAAAGGAACACTTATGATAAGCAATGAGAAAAGATACAGTATCAGGTGAGAGAATAAGGTGGAGAAAAACCAAAATCATTTAGCAAATGGATTGCAGCTAGCCAGAATTTCACTACGTTTTAAAACTTGAGCCCCACAGAACACAAAGGGATGTGTGTCTTACTGTGTCTTTACTGAAGGCCATTTAACACTGGGAATTTTTCCAGCAGTGTAGTCCAATAACAGTAGTCCTTCTTACAACATTTGGGACTTGCCCTGTTGAAAATCAATATGTTCAGTGTCTACTGAAATTGCACATTTGTTCTCTGTGATATGTATATAGGATGACCATATAAATTATCCTCCACACTGGGATTTTTTTTCTGAGTGAAAGGGATAGTCATTAATTGTACCAGGACAATTAGTATAAGTTGAGATTATCCCAAGAAAACTATGATGACAGAATATGTCAATTATAGAAACATAGATTTGTATAGTCTCTTTCTAAGGAAGGTTATTATATATTTCTGTGAATATATTTCTGTAGGCTTAAAAGAACAGGTAACTAAGGTATTCAATTCATGATGGTGGTGGAATTGAACTGAGTCATCTACACATTCTTAACAAGTCCTTTTTGTAAGTTGGGTCCTACTTGCTGGTCTGTTGCCTGCCTTTGCACACTCCATTTTAAGCATCACAACTGGCCACTTGGAAATTGAACCCACAATCTTGCTTTCATCAGTTTAGTTTGTAACAAGTTTTAGATTCTGCAGGGCCCTATCAGTGGGTCATATGCTAGACTATAAGATCAAAGCAAAAACGCAGAGGATTCTGGGCTTTTCCTGTAAGGCCCCAGATTCTAGTCCTTTGTTTATCAGTAACTAACTGTGATTTTTGGCAAGTCACGCAACCTGTGTTTTGGTTTCCTTATCTCTAATGTGGGGTAATGCTATCTGATGTGCAGACCTCAAAGGTTTATTAGGAGGACCCAGTGAAGTGATGTATGCGGAAGCCTTCTGGAAAGTGCTATCCATATGTGAAGTGTTATCATTCCTAGGAGAGAAGGGGGACATGAGATGTGAGGGGAAAACAGGGCTTTCAACTCTAGCTGGCCTTGCAGATTAGGCTTGTGCAAACAAATGATGAAAATAAGGCCACAGAAGAGACATTATACTCTCTTTTATGAATAGGAGCAGGGAGAGAGAAAAGTGAGGATAGGGACTGTAGCCAGCAAGACCCAGGGACGATAGGGTGAGACGGCTTCCATTCGTTTTTTTATATCACTGTTGTCCCCAGTACCTGTCAAGACTGCATCAAATATGGACTTATTGAAGAAAAAGAAGACAGCTGGGCTCCAAGGTTGTGAGGGTACATTAACTCATTCCTGATTGAAGGGGTTGGTTTTATTCTATAGTTCAGTAGGAATCAAAATATCATACTTGTCTTTCTTCTCCTGTTGACTTTTTGTCAAGATTAAACAAAATCATTTATGTAAAACTGCTTTATGGACTATAAATTCCAATAAAAGGAAAAATAAGAACTTCACGGGATGAGTCTGTTGATGATAGTCATTATTAGGTTGGCCAAAAATTTCATTTAGGCTTTTCCATGTGCTGGCATGTAAATCTGAATGAACTTTTTGGCCAACCCTATATTATAGTAAGAGTCAGGTTTATTTTTTTCTTCAAAATGAAGAAACGATTATTACTTAAAAATTAAAAAAAAAATCACATGTGCTTATAAAAACTTAGATATATGAAAAGGTATAATAAAGGAAATAAAAACCACACATGATTCTGCTACCAAGAGATAACCAAATGTTTTGGTGAATAGTCTTTTGGACTTGACATTTGTATAAAATTTTTAAAAAATCAAAATGGAGCCTTTAATTTGTTCTTCATTCTTTAATTTGTTCATGATTATTTGAATACTGGTAGGCAGAATGTTAATAAGATAGACACCAGGTCTTTTTCATGTGGTTTATGTTTTCCTGGGGAATACAGACACAGAACAGAAAATTATAATGTGAAGCACGTCACCATGGGGAAGCAACAGGTGTTTTGCAGCAGGCTTAGGTAAATCAGGAGAGGCTTCCTGGAGGAAGAGATATTTAGGTTAAGGCCAGAAAAATGACTAGAGTCAACCAGACTGTCATGGATGTTGGGGTGGGTCACCCAGCTCCTCCTTGAGATGGAAACAGTCCTTCCCCTGCTGGCAGTAGCACTGCCTTTTTGATGATTCTCAGCTGAGGTGTTTCCCTAGGAATTGCTCTCTGCCGAAATAAGCTACCTTGCTCACGGCTATCTCAATCTCTGGGGGCAGCTGAGGTAAAAGGACTACCTTCTTACCTTCATTCAGACATCTCTGAAGGGCCATCTCAGCTCCAGAGTTCCTCAGAAGATCAACTGAGGCTTCAATTGCACCTGCATTGGAGACAAGCTTTTCCTTCTGCCCAATCCTGCTTCCGTCCCTATTCACAGGTATTGGTCCTAGGCACACTGCCCAGTAAAATTCTGCACAAATAAACCATACCCTCAATGAAGACAAAGAGTGTAGAGAGAGTGTTACTAAAAGATGGAACATCCTATCTAAGGCCTAGACGTGTTGGAGGAGTTAAATTTTCCATTTTTATTTTTTACAAAGTCTGCAAAGTAGTGAGTGTAGTCAGTAGAAGAGACACAGTTCCAAAGAGGGAGTCAAGCTCTTGTCATCAGTGTCAAGAAGATGCAGAGACTGGACTCTATCCCAAGGCCAATGGGAAGCCCTAGAAGGTTATAAATCATGGGTGAGACATGGTCTGGTTTTCTAATTTGTGTTTTAGAAAGATCATTTTGGCCACTGTACGGCACCATTAATTAAAACTCATTACTGACAATCACCATATTTTTTATTAGAATATCAGAGTGACTGGTGACCTCCTTGTGCACTCCACACCTTTACAGAATGAATGGCAAACCATATGTCCCCCAGCAGAATCATGTAATGATCACCCGTGCTGTAGCAGTATTATTGGACCTTTAAAACTCTGAAGGGATTCAATTATAGTTCTTTGTTGTTTTTTTTTAAACCTGATTCACACTGTTTTAGTATATACTGAGCACCCATGACATGCCAGAAAGCACTGTGCTATTGCTATGGAGGATCAAAGACAGAAGCTCTCACGAAGAGGGCCATAGCTATCTCATTCATCACCCTGCCACTGAAGTGCCTGCAAATAGTGAGTGCCCAATAAACAAGCCAACAAACAAAAAAATGGAAGGAGTCTCAGAAACATGTGAGAATTACTTAGTCCTCATGAGTACAAAATGGGGATAACAGTTTCTCACTTATCAACATTGTTGTGAGAATGGATAGGTAAAATACTTTCTCCAGAAGCTTAAATATAGTCAAAATTGTATTTACTCAAATAGTTCAAATACTGTTTGCTATTCTCAGTATTGATAGAAACAAATCAATGCCTTAAATGATTACAACCAAACTTCTGATATCTATTTCTTTCTTGTTCTCTTTGTCCTATAATATCACTTCAAAGGAAAAAAATGTGATTTGCAAATGAAGTTAAAAGATTTAGTCACTTACTGATTTATTCAACAGCTCTTTTTTTGAGGTCATCCAAAATGCCAGGCATGGGTTATGCAGTGGTGAGCCGAACAGACCGTGTCCCTGTTCTTGTGGAGCTTATAATCTAGAAGGAGAACATTTAACAAAGAAAATCTCATCAGTTATTACCAAAACAATCTGTCACTAGAGAAAATATTAATAGAAGCTAATTTAGTAATAGAAAGGTAAATCTTCTCTGAAGAAGTAGCCTTTAAACTGGGAACTAAGAGTAGGAGTTTCATTAAGAACAGGGAATAAAGCACCCTAGAAAATGGGAAAATCCTGTGCAAAGACCCCGTGGTAGAAAAAAGCTTGGCTTACTGGAAAGATGGAGGGAAAGCCAGTGTGGTAAAGTGAAGAGAGATGAAGCCAGGAAAAAGGCAAGGCAAGTCTAGAACGGTCTTGGTTGTTATGTGGTCTTCTTTTATTCAGACTAAATAGGATACACAAACTGCCTAAAATTTGTTCCTGGATGGATCAGTATGGTTCATGATGTCTGTAAAACAAGGATAGGTAAACTGCAGTCTCAATAGTCACATCTAAGCCTTGGGAAAGTTGATTATTTTCCCCCCTCTGGTTATGGTGATAAATGAAGAGGCATATAGCAAAGGCATGTAGTTGTTTGTTGAGAGTGCTTATAAAGAAATACATTTTTACCCCTAGACAAAATGGAACTATTAGAAAGTCTTTTTTTCCTGCTTACCCCCTTTTTTTCTTGATGTGGTTCTTCGAAGGTAAACAACCAGTGGGAGCAGTGGACAATTTAGAACAGAGATGCTGTGGTGGTTTCCCAGGAGACATAGGACAATTGTGGGTGTCATCAGTGTTTGGGCGGTGGCTTACACACTGGATTTGCTCAGAGAGGCCTCCATTTCCCTCTCAGTGATTAGAACAACCTGTGTTCTGGAATACAGTATTTAAACAGCAAGATTGGCATTGCTATCTTCCAGGATGGTGAAGGCTTAATTAACATTTGAAAATGCTTTGAAATCTTTGGATAAAAGTGTTCTGGAAGCATGAAGTGTTATTATCTTTGGAGTGATACAGGTCATGTGACACAGGAAGTGGCTTTGAAGGAAAGGAAAACCTTTCATCAAGCAAACTCCTTGGGGTGGTTTGAGCCTGTTTTGAGTGACTCAACATGCCCGTGTCATCTCTCCCTAGACCGTGAATGAAAGGAATAACTTGGCCTATAGCTTAGCAACTGCCACCGTCATTAACTGAAAGAATTTAGTGAACTTGTACGTGAAACATACTACAAATTACACAGAATCCTAAAGCATATAGCACAGTTGTCCCTTATAAGCACTAAGTAAATATTAGCTGTTACTATGACTGTTCTCCATCAATATAGTTTAAAACCACTGGACTTGTTTTTTCTGAACTTAATGCCTTTCAACCAGAGTTCAATGTTCTTCAGTGATAAATCAGTCTTACTTTCATTTTAAAGACTCTGTAAAGAGCAAAATAAATGAAGACTGTTATGACTGAGGCCCTAACCTGGGAGCAACAGATAAGCACCTTCATTGCCTAAGACCCTTCCCGGCATGTAACATTAGCTCAAAGCTGGATCCTAAGTCCTTCCCTTTCTCAACAAGAAGGACTCAAAATAGAAACTGGGTTTCCTAACTTCTGATGATTCCTCGGGGTCTTCAGTGGACAGGATTTCAAAGAGAACACTTTAAAGCGGTTCCAATTTATTTAACGGCAAAAGGGAAGAAAGATTTCATCTTCTTCCTTCCATTAACTTATATGTCTTCATAATACTTCCTGGATAAGTAGAAGTCAGAACAGGGGTGGAGAGTGAAGAATGGGAATATGGTTCATTTGAGAAAAAAAAATTTTTGAGCAATATATATATATCAAATCAAACCTCCCCATGTGTGTTTGCTAAATTAATTTTACTGGCTGGATGACTAGAAGTTTCGTTTTCTTTAAATGCACACCTGCCTCAAATATAATATTTTGACCAAGGGAAAGGTATTTTGGGAAGTAGTAGAGACAGAGAGAGAGAGAGGGAATAAGAGAATGCTGTAGGTAAGAGGATATAAACCAAGTAATAATTGAGTAAGGGCCCCAGGGCACGCCGGGATGGTGAGGTCGCCAGGGCATGCTGGGATAGCGAGGCCGTGCAAGGCATGCTGGGAGGGGTTCCAGCACTCTTACCCGTACCCGTGAGTAGGCTCCTCAGACGTGGCTCAACAGTTCTGTGTGGTCAAGCATGGAGCTGACCTAATTAAAAGCTCATTACACCAGCACATCCCCATTAACAGGCAGACCCACGTGCAAATCCTTCAGAGCAGGAGCTCCTTCTGTTTCCCAGACGGGATTCCAGCGCCAACCATGGTGCCTGGAAGCTCTGGCCAGTTAAGGGATCTCCACGTCTGTGACCATCAGGTACAGTTCCTTTCTGGCTTGTTTCATATTCTAGTAAATTAGTTTTATTTGCTCTGAAACATTGTAACAAAGAGCTCTCCGGTCATCACATGGGTAAAAATAACAAAGGGTAATAGAACAGCGAACTTCACCTAATCAGAAACAAATAACTATATCTCCCTGGAAAATGAAGACTTTCCTATCCTGCCCTTTTGGTGGGATTTTGAAATTTCCATTCTATAGTCAGACTGTAGGTACTGGCCTTCCTTGCATTGTATTTTGTATAACTGTTGCCCACCCTGACAGAAGATCTCAAAACTTAAGTATAAAGTTGGTAAATGATCCTATTGTTTGGGAGGTGGGGGTGGAGATGGAGTGGGAGCAGAGGGTTTATCTAACCAAAAAAAAAAAAAAAAAAGGAAAATGCAACCTAACCAGGCTCAAATTAACTGAAATGGATCAAAGTAAACAGAGACATCTAAAAGCTTTTGTGAGTTAAAAGTGGCTATCTGTTGCAGGTCTTGCCTCATTAACTGCTGATTGAAGCTCTGCTTGGCCCTCTGGGATACCTAACACCCCAGGCCTATCAGGAGAGGAACCCTGGTTAGCCACTTTTGCCTTTCTCTGTGTTGCTTTGCACAGCTCCTTGACCTCAACCTTCATACAAATCCTTTCTACCGGGCAAAGGGAAGAAAGGGTTGTCCTTGAGAATCTTGCTGGCACTGTCACTTCTAGCCAATGAGGACTTGTGGGAAAAGAGAAGTGGATGGCAAAGATGTGGTATCTCTGCAGATCTGTATTCTGAAAGGTAGACTTGCAATTCTGACATCTTAAGTAGAGCCTCTGCACAAGATTATGTTGGGGAAAGAGCCCAGTTTGTTTTTCCCTTAGGTGTTGGTCTCATCTCCATATGTGAATGGTGAAAGGTGACGATTAGACCATATGCTTTAAGATGCAGATATCTCTTGGCTCCCATCATCCCAGCCCTTCAGCAGGTCATTCAGCTGGGACAGGGAGCCAAAACTGAAAGGATTGTCTAGGGGAGGAAGAGAAAATAGTGGTGGGGGTGAGCTGGGAAATTGGTGGGGGGCGGGGAGCGGAGGGGAGAAGGAGGAGCAGGGCTCTTTTGAGTAGGACCAGATAGGTCTCTGTGTAGAGTAATATTACAGCTCTTTCTCTCATAAACAAGCTGCATGCCTGCTTCTAAAGACCCATCTGGCATAGCTTTGAGAATGGCAATAATTACAAGCTGATGATGGACATGGAAAAAAAGCCCTGCTGAGCTAACTCATAAGGAAGTACAGGCCAGGACTGCAGGGAAATTACAGGCTGAAAACCTTTCTAGTTTAGGCCTTTTGGTGTTCTTAATCACAGACTTTAAATGTTGTAATAAACACTGTTGCATTTTATTGACCAACTCCCATGACAGGCAAATCTTTTTCATTTTATTTTATTTTTACCATTTGCTCTTTGGAAAGCTGCTCAGCAGTGACTGTTTAGACCATGACAATGGGTCTTTGGTTTTTCTGCTTATAGGAAAATTGGTGATTTTTTTTAGTTAATGGAAATATATGTATATATATAATTTTTTTCCCCTTGAATTGCTCTCTGCATTCTATGGTTCAGATAGACTCTCAGATTCAATGCTTGAACTTTAGCTATATAAGATTGGTCTGGATGTTTGAATCAAGAAAACTGAAGAGATAAAATAACAAACTTGGGAAGAATAATCTATAATTCTATACAATCAAATAGCATATCTTATATAGAAATAAGTAAAAATCCAAGTTAAATAATGTACTGTTAGGTTCTGGCTTTGTTTGTAGAGATGATCCTTATTTCAGGGATGAATTTGATATGGAAAGGATAATCTTTCTTAAAAATTTTAGAACCTAATATTTTACAAGTGGATCTAAGACATTTTGTCCTCTCAAACATTTCAGATCATTCATGGGTTTGCAAAGAGTCGGACACGACTGAGCGACTGAACTGAACTGAATGGAGCAAATGTTTTCAGGAAATCATCTTAGGAAGAACAGAATAGGAACACTGGAAATTTCCTTTCCTCTGAAACATGATTAACCTTGAAATCTATAGCTTAAAGATCATGGCAAAGGTGGTCTTGAATATAACATTATTACCAGTTGCTATTATAATGAGATTTTGTTATCTAATGTGGCATTGATTCTACTTCAACATGTTACCAGTTTCCATGAAAATAATTTGATCTTCATTTTATACATTTTAAAAGCCTGAGGTTAGAAATGGTGAAAGATGGTGTCAATCAGAGTTTTTCAATGATTTGATTAACTTATTATACAAATAAATCTTTGTTCGAAAGATACCTTTATGGATTTTATAGCAGAGAAGGTAAAGTTTGTTGTTCTTTAAGCACTATGTACTGCATTTGTAACTTATTTTCAAATCCCTTCCTTCTTTGCTGTAGTTTCTCATTCATATTCCTTAAAGACTTGTATTTTATTCTTTGTGTTTTGCATATAGTCCTGGCCACCTTGGATGGATTATTTAGTTCTGTCCTTTTGTATTTGATTACTTGTTCAGGAACATAAAGTTTTGAGGTCTATGAAGTTAAAGCTATGAAATGGTTGTGTAATGGAAATTTACCAATATAAACTCAGGCTCTTGTCCTTTCATAAGCATTGCTTTACCTGAAGCTTCCTTGTCAATGAGAAATTATTTCTTTATGTCTAACTGTCTCTTTTCCTATACAGGCTGGAATTGTTCCTAACAAAAGAAGCATGAATTGGTGGAAACTATACATTAAATGCAAGACTATTTGTCTAGTTTTCATTAGGTTGCTGAGTGAAAAGCCTTAATTCCTGTCTTTTCCCAAGGTACTCAGATATCCATGAAAGCCCCCTCATCTCGTACTATCATTTCTCTCACTGGGCACAATCCAGCTTTAAAGAATTCAACACTTACTGGTCTTTAGAGAACTGTCAGCAATGACAGCAACCAGGGACGTGACATGTCTTACTGTTTACAAAGGATGAGCGCAACAGGGCCTCTCGGATAACTTGATAAGCCTTGCAACTTCTCTCTCCCTGATTCTGGTTTCTCTGGGCCAGCTGCCTTTTCGAGGCCAGCTAAAGATACAAGTTTCAAAACTTGATCTAAACACTGACAAGGCAGCAGACACAGTGGCAAAGATAAGCTAGGGCTGCTCAAGGTTGCTTTGTAAAACTGTAAACAGAAAGAGAAACAAGAAAAATCTCAGTCCCTGATTTCTTAATGCATACAGTTTTCTTATGTACTTAAAGTTTGGTGAAAAAATCCTGAAATAGCAGTAAAGTAAGTTCATGGATTATTATCGTGGTCTTGAATATTTAATCTCTTTTTCTCATCTCAGCATCCTTCCATCTCTCTAGAAATACCAGACAATGTTGTAATTAAATTAAGTTCAGCTTTTATTTCTCACTGTTTTGTTTTTAAGTATTCGGAACATACTCTTCTGTGTAGGGAATCCTGAAATGTCTTGGAAATTGTACAAATGCACATACTTTTCTTCATTCCTACTTTGTGAAGAACTTTCTTAGGAGGAGGGGGATGACCCTGGGAAGTCGAAACTGCTTTCTTCGTTTCCTTTTGCTGCCATTCAGCATTGAACAAATGGAGGAGGAAAGGAAAGTTTCATGTGCTTATGTTGCCCTTGCGTCAATGCTTTTGTTAAGTGGTATATATCCTAATTCCACCAACTCCATGGGATTTAGGAGTATTGTTTTCCTTAACTTCTTTGTAACTGACTGAGACAACGCTGTTATCTTCTAAAGGTGCTGGACTGTTCCCAGAAGTGAGCTCTTCCAAGGTGCTTGGACAAAAGATTTTTACTAATTGTACTCCCGCCCCTTTGTTTCCTCTTTGTTACAGAAATGCCATTGTTGAAAATAATGTATGCCACAGTCAATGGAGCAAAGCACCTTTCTTATAAATTTTAGTAGTTTAAAGGCCACATCAATCACACACGTTGTAACTTAGTGTTGTCACAGAAAGGGATTTAGTCTTGATTATGAGGCAGAATCTTCCTGGTTGTGGCCAACAATCTGCTCGGTTATTTCTGAACAGTTCTCATAAGATGATTGCCTTTTTTTTTTTTTTTTTACTAAAGCATCACTGCTTATAAATCACTGCTTCATAGCTATTGAGTCTCAGAATGCAAGTGAAAATGACTATTTCCTTTTTATAGATGGGGCTTTCCTGATGACTCAGATGGTAAAGAATCTTCCTGCAATACAGGAGACCTGGGTTCAATCCCTGGGTAGGGAAGATCCCCTGGAAAAGAGAATGGCTACCCACTCCAGTATTCTTGCCTGGATAATCCCATGGACATAGGAGCCTGGTGGGCTATAGTCCATGGGGTCACAAAGAGTTAGACATGACTGAGCGACTAACACTTTCACTTTTTTAACTTTTTTTTTAAACAGATGGT